GTTCCGAGAACAGAGTTCTTGAGCCGTGTTCCCGCCGTTCGAGCGCGAGAACAAAAAACCCGTGTCAAGAACAGGCCGCCCGAACTCGAATTATGAGTCGCTGGGGGCGCACTATGCACGGTGTGCGCTATCAAGCACTAACGTCTTGAAACCAAGACTACTATTAAGGATGAATATCCATAAATGCAAAGTGCTCGCACGTATATTTCAAAAGTTGCGTGCACGCGTAAATCTGTGTCGCGCGGGTTAACACACTGACTAAAGTCCTAATTTAAATGCCTATCCCAAATAGTGGGATATTTAAATTACTCAATGCCAGGGGTTTGATCGCCCAAGGCGTGGTGGGAACCAACATGGCGCGGCAAGATCGTATCCATGGGAACGAGGTTGGCTTGCATGCACTGAATCGAGTTTAGGGAAGGAAATACGTCACAGCGAATGGAGCATTGTAGGTAAACTGTCAGGCGCGCGAGCTTGCTCCATGCGTTACACAAGTGACAGTTTGCCATTTCGATGTTTTTCGTTTTCTTCCTCATTGCTGAAAATACTTCACTACCCAGTTCGTTCGTCCAAAATCGATCAAGATAACCAATGATTTGAAATATATCGCCAAAAGACACGTGATCAGTGATACTCAGTGAGGAGATAAATTACCACACTGTGATTGTACCAAGGCCATTTTTTTATCATATCTAAACATATATTATGTTTCGAGCCTTCAAAAATGACATAAAAAAATTAAACAACTATTGCTTACAAAAAGAGCTTTTCATAAAAAAACACTAGTTTCGACCACTCTGGTACTATTTCTCAATTTTACTTTCACAAAACAAGTGAAAAGGCCTTATGTTACCATGAGGAATATTTTGGGAAGGTATTTTTATTTCCAAAAAGTGAAAACAAGACGTAACTTTCGTGAAATGAAGCAGCTGCTTGCCCGGCACGAATTCTCATGGTCTCATTACTTATGCAAATGACCCTAAAAATGGAACATGCGCAGTTGCTAATTTTCCTTTGAAACATCATGAGCTCTTTACTAAAAAACACACCAGCCAACAACAAAAGTGTCCCCAAAAACCGACATCCATGTGTATATTTTGTACTTTCGGGTACATTGCTTGGAGCATCGCAATGTAGTTTTATGAATCAAACGCCAGTGTAAAAGTATACACTACAAACGGCACTCGAGAGTACCGACACCATGCATGATCGATGCGTCTTGCTCGTTGACAGTTGCGTCATGATTGACGTTCCTCGAGTGTCTCGCGCGCTATTTTATTGGCTCGGTAACAAAAGTGGGCATTTCAGGAAAGGAAATTAATTCGTAATAGACGAGTGATGAAAAGCACCCGCCTGGATGGGATATGAAAGTGATCATCATTCACAGATTACGATAGACGCTTGTTGGCCGCTGGAGCATTTCAGCCATGAATTTAGCGCAGTGCCTGTGTGGTCTGACGATCTTAATATCTGTAAGCCTTAGCTTCAGTGAGGCTTCTGCAGGTATTGTTTGTGATTTCTTTCCGTTTATTAAGCTGTAGGATAATCCATTTTGAAAGAAGAAAAGGCGTGAGGACCAGCGGCGTATCCAGCTTTTGGCGGGGGGGGGGCAAATTCAAAAGCAAATGGAACTGAGGGCTTATTCAACATGATGTTTAGGGGAGAAAATATATCAAAAACGTTACCGTCCCCGCGTCCTAGCTTTATGCCGTGTTCTTTTGTTTAGGTTTTTAGTATTGATATTTGATATATAAAAAAAGTAATATTTGATTTTAAAAAGCCGTCAGGGGTGCCCCCTGCCCCCACTGGATACACCACTGACGAGGGCGGTTTATAAAGGCTTTTATAAATTCGGAAGCCTTCATGCAAATACAACAAAATCTACGGGTAGTTTAGCTCATCAAAATCAATCGTGTTTACAATAAACCCATACATGAATGTCTGGTAGGTTACAAGGCTTGTTCATTTAAAGTAAGTCTTCTGATCTTTTATTCGGAAATCCTCGAGTCTTTCCAATCAAGGATGAGATAATTTATCAGAAAGACTTGTCTTTGTTTGCATAGACTCGTTATGTTTAATTTCTCGCTCACTTAACAGTTGATGTGATCAGGCTTCGTCTTGTGGATGGGCGTTATCCTAACGAGGGGCGATTAGAGGTGCTTCCTCCCGGCGAAGTGACCTGGGGATCTTACTGCTCCAACTCTAATCCATTTCAAACTGGCCGCGTGGCATGTCGGCAACTGGGCTTTCCCGCTCTATTCCTGGCCACCTCTACTGGGCAGTTTGGCAGGGCGACCGGTCCGATATGGTTCGAGGAGATTTCATGCAAGACATGGGATCTTGAACCGGCCACCCTGGATGGGTGTAGGAGTGTGGAGTGGTTGCCGAGATACGACGTTTGCGATCACAGATTTGATGTAGGCATCACCTGCTTTACCGGTAAAAGTGACTTCGTTTTGTTTTCCCTGGCCTCAATGAAAAATATACCACCTGTAGACGCGGCGTGAATATTAATCCAAAATAGATGTCCTCTTTACAGGATAAGACAAAATAGACAGTTGCAGTTTCCTGGACAAGATTCGAAATCTTAAGTTAAGTTAAAGTAGATTGCACCCTTAATAATACTCAGTTTATTTGTGTGTTTTGGTTCATATTAATAGGAAATCTCCGCTTAGTTGGAGGTAAAAGAGAGACCGAAGGAAGAGTCGAGCTCCATTTGGGAGGAGACAAATGGGTTCTGTTAGCATATCCGAGGGGGCTGACTTTTATGTATTCCGACACCGTTTGCCGTCACCTCGGGTATCCATTCTCAGTTGGGGCGACAGAAGAGGTGGCGATAACAAACAGCAGCCAGGAGATGTTGTGTGCGTTCTCTCACTGCCCACTTTTTGTACAGCAAGAATCGAGGGATTTCTTTGATTGCCTGGATCACCAAAGTTTAAAACTCTGCCCGGATAAGAACAGGACGTTATTCGGAGTAGTCTGTGCAACAGGTCAGAAATAATGGCATCCCATGATCTGATGCATAAGTTTTGTAATCTCTTTAGATTTTGTTAGTTCCTGTGTGGTCAGCAGTCGAACTAGAGAATTTTAAGTCTCAGAGTCCTTCGTTAGCTATGGTTGATAACCGTGTTGTTTTTTATTTTTCAAATGATCTTTACCTTGATGAGGCCGGGAACAATTTCGGTTTAGCAGCGCACGTCAAGTGGATTTTCTTGTGTCATTTGAACAAACCACAGGTAGATAGCTCACTCACCTTAAGGATACTATACTTTGTGGCTCAGCCTGAATAAATGACAGCAAGTCTCGTCAATTCCTTCAACAAATCCCAAACAATGATACCCGAAATGTCTGTATTAATTAAGCGTGCAATATATCCAATAAAAATATCCTTCATATTTGTCTTTCTGAATTTGCAAAGCAAACGGGTGAAAAATGTGCAAATAACGCTCAAAATGATGTGGACAAAATTACTAAGATTTGAAAGACCGTTGATGGAAACATAATAAGCGTGAGCGTAGCGACCGGGGGTGTGAGGTGCGGCATCCCCTCATAAGTAATTTCAGTCTGAAAACAGAGCTTCGCTCGGCAAGTGAATCCAAAATTAGTAAGCGATATACATTGGCCGTCGGCATTTCCCTTGAAACATGGAATGTAGCATACCACGGATCACTTTGTGAATTTTACACGGCAGGAGGTTAGAGAACGAGTTCCACATAGACATGTATATCGGAGCGATATTTACATGTATATTTGTTTGCTTGTAAACTAGGCCCTATTTCATGTCTTGTAATTGAAGAAAATATCTGTTCTAATTGCAGAAAATGCTATGATTCCGTCCAATGCAAGCATGGAATTTCGTCTCGTCGACGTGGCAAACGCATCACGTTACAGAGGGATAGTGGAGGCTCGCTATAATGGGTTCAGTTGGAAGACAGTTTGTTTTCAACTGGTGACGGACTTACGAGCAAAGCTAGTTGCTGATGAAGCATGCCAAAGCCTGGGCTATCCTTGGGCTTCTGCCTCGGAGCTAATCTATTACTCTGAATCCCCCGGCTACGTGAGCACTGGAGATGAACTAGTCTTGAGAGAGCTGTACTTGGGATCAACCATCGGCGAATTACGGTGGATACAAGGCCAGAACACCTGCCAGAAACATTACTATGAACTTCTTTCTGTGGAATGTGAAACAGATACAGATTTGATTGGCCATAAACAACGTTTACAAGGGGACAATGTCCAGCTGTCACAGTACGCTAGGTATTTCCTGTAACCTAAGATAAAAGCCAGGCCTTCATAGGTTTGATTTTGTGTCATAAAACACACCTCCCACACAAACTTTAAAACATCTTAAAAGTGTTGTTCTGAAATCCCGATTTGCGGAAAGCTTCAAATGTGCACGTCTACTTATAGCATCCACATTAATGCAAGGCTTCAGCGCTTACCAGCGACGTGAAAATGGCAATTGCCTCAAACCAACGCTTATAGTAAATGAATTAAGAATATGAACCGCCCGAAGGTAGATCACTTGAGTTACGTGCCAACCAACATGCACACTTTTAAAAGTCAGGCCAGAGAGGCACGATGGAAGTGCCTATCGTGCGCCTTGATGTGATTTCCGATCCATGAAGATAAAAGTCGTCTTTTAGAAGGAAATTTAATCTAGGTCAACGGAAAAGAAAGTGCAACCAGCTATCCAAAATGTTCGATCGATATGTAACCACAGGAAGTCATGGTGAATTCGATAGTATAAGCGATTTTTAATTATTTTCTTCGTAAATTGTTTTGCTCTGACTATATTTTTTCTTCTTTTCTCTTCTTTTGTTGATTGCATCAGGTGTAACATTGTATGGACTCACAGTGTACCCTTGCTCGCTTCAAACCTGCCGTGGGCGTTGTGGAAGTCCCGCTACCGAGGTCTTGTGTGGTTGCGACGCACTATGTTCCAGGTGTAGCGACTGTTGCCTTGACTACACCGAGCAATGTCCCCTCCAAGATGGCGTGGGTCGCCAGGATGAATCAGGCGTAGACACACTATTGTCAACCGGTTCTTTTACCTGTGTACTCGTCGACAATGAACGAGCCGTCATTGTACACAACTGCAGTCTAGCAAACTGGAATGCGTCTCAAATCTCAGCTCAGTGTGAGAGAAACTTCTCGGCCATCCTAGTGGACCACGGAGAGGGAGTGTACTGTGTTGAGTGTAAAGCCATAACAGAGTCCATTAGTGCCAGTTTCTCAGTCGAATACGGTAAATCTAGTGAGTATGCATTCGGCGACCATTTTGTGAGCAAATATGACGTAGGGATTGACGTGTGTGCCCCCTCTGGTGCGACACCACAAATATCGCTTGGGTGCAAGTCATATTCTTCTATTGTTCAGAAACCTGGGGCAACGTATAAGAATCCCCACTGCGCGTATTGCAACGGAGTAAATATCTCTGTCTGGGACTACTGTCCGCAGGTCATTTCGGTGGTTGCGCCCGCTGGTCTCGAAGTACTTCTTGGCCGAAATCCTGACATCTGGGTTCCTGAATCACCGGCAGTTCTCCTTTTACAAGACCAAATTGAGTGTTACAAAATGGAGTTCAACCTACTGGTACTGCCTATGGGCAATTCTTCAGGTATAATGAAAGAAATGGTTACACGGTGTTTCCTTAACACTTTGGGATGGCAGAATATCCAGCTGACCTGGCCTTTTTATTCTTCATTTATCGAGAGCAAACTGCTGGCCCTGGCCAGGGGAAGGCCGGAGGTGACAACTGAGTACCTCACTAATGTCACAGAATTCGAAGAAATATTGGACCTCACGATTGCATCCTCTCACGAAGAAGGCAGCTCAAGGGATTGGGTAGTCAACTGTGGAGTTGAGCAGGTTAATTTTACGGAGGTTTGCAGTACAGCTCTGAACGTGGATGTCGACAAAACCGTCAATATGTTGTCTTGTGATCTTTTTTTGTTTGCTGCAAGAGCAGCAGATGTTAGAGTATTTAATATGAGTGGTGTGCAGATCATTTACGTCGGTGGTGGACTGCTTGTTGTGGCTAAGTCGGTCTCTTTCGTTCGCAGCTACCAATATGGGACATTTAGCAGTACAGCTAAAGACACCATTGTCTCTGTATGCGGAGAAAAATTTGAGACCGCAGACTGTCGCCTGCCCCTCACTAGAGAAACGATGATGATCAGCGACGCTGACGGAAACCGAAGGCTTAAGTACAAAGGGAAGATGTTTTTGCAAGACCAGGTTACCTACCTGCCGGATGGCTGGATCCTGATCTGTTCGAGCATCTTCTTGGTTTCGGAGGAACCCTATATATCGTTCTCAGACCCACTCACTGTGCTGAATTTCGTTGGTTATTGCTTATCCATCGTCGCTCTCTTGGCAACCTTCGTCAATTACTGCATGTTCCGAGTCCTTCGGAATGTTCCTGGTGCGGCTATAATGAGCCTGGCCGCTGCTTTGTTCTTGGCTCAGCTTTTGACCTTGACAGTGCTAGACAAGGTGGAGAACGTAACCTTCTGCATCGCCATGGCCGTCCTGATGCACTACATGTGGCTGGCCACTTTCACGTGGATGAATGTTCTGGCCTGGGACCTCATGAGGACGTTCACCTCCAAACAGGCAGCTCGTCCCAATAGGCGAATCTTTCTCGGCTATTGCCTGTACGGATGGGGCCTACCTGCTCTGATCGTCACCACTTGCCTGGTCATTCACTCCATCCACGGTCATAGTCTGGGATTTCGATATGGTGGTGAGCTATCCTGCTGGGTGGTCGGCAAATACGCGGTACTGGGTGCGTTCTTAGCCCCAATGGTATGCAGCCTGATTGCAAACGTAGTCTTGTTTAGTTGGACAGTGCGAAGCGTACACGCCTCACTGGCAGCAGCGGCGATGGTCCGTCGAGACAAATCCAAGTCACGAGAGACACTCGGAGAGTTGCGGATTTACTTCAAGGTAAGTGGTTATCAGTTGTCAGTTTCTGTATAGTCGTGGGTATTTTGTGGATGGTGCAAGAGATATAATTTTGTTTCCCCGTGTAGATCGGCGAAATCACGGAGGTCTTCCTTTACTTGTGGCTTTTGTAGTGCCATCTGCATTCCTTATGAGTATCCTAAGTATAGGTGCCTAAAGATCTGTGTAATTTATACCAACCAACTGGTAACATAATTCAGTGTTGGCTTCAGCATGGTATTTTCTGATCGTGCAACGTTTGAGGTTTATTACTACGTGAGACCATGGTGAGACGGATCGTCTAGTTTTTGCGTTTAGGGTTCGTGTATAGAGTACCAAAGTAAATACATCACACGCACAATAACGACCAGTTCATGCTGCAGGGGCGACTGCGAAAGCGAAGCGAATTTGACGTCATGAAAAATTTGCCGCAAAGTTTCGCTTGAGTTGAAATGTGATCCACTTTTACGAATTCGTAATGCGACTGTTAATATGCCCACACAAATTCGTTTTTCGCTTCAACGTGTTTGCGCGAAATATATCGCGAGAAGCAGCTGTGACCCAACACGCACTCTATCACATTGTCTGGAACCACACTCCCTGGTTCAAAAATACTATCGTCACACTTCGGTACTTCATCCGGTTCGTAGGTGTGACGTCACTTCAGTTTAAACCACGCCCACGGCACATGCACTGCTTATTTACTATGAAGTTTTCTGCTTAACAAAAGGTTTGTTACAGCAAAATGTAACTATAATCCCCTAAAGTGGAAAGCAAGCCATTTAATTAACTTCGAACACCATGTCCCTGCAAGCAGTTTGTATGCCAGAAATGAAGCATGATACCGTAATAAAACCTTAATTTAGAAACGAGCTGTTAATTTATTCCCCAACTCATTTCTCGACCGTGAATAAAATATTTTCCCTTGCGCCTACCTGCTGGAAAATACACCTGTAAGAGAAGCAAGAATGAAAATACCAACCTGTATTTTGGCAGTACCGATCTTGAAACCAAGCCCGGAGTGCCAAAAACTGATTGTCGTCCAGAGAGAATCGATTGGATGATATAAAAAATGCTCCCACTTGCGTAGCTGTCGATGATATATTCCTCCGGAAAGCACTTTAGTGTTTAGTATTTGGGCAAATGAATACAGGAGTTTCAGAATCTTGAGTGACTTTCCGTCATTCCGTTAGAGCCTCTTGACTTCATGCAATTGAACATTCGAGGACTCACGGGACATGATTTACATTGAACATTCGAGGACTCAAGGGACATGATTTACACGTTGAACATTCGAGGACTCAAGGGACATGATTTACATTAAAAGTCTAGAATTTTCAGCCTGGTTCGAAGTAAACTCTTCTTAGTTTCGTGACCATAATTAAAAAAAGATTTTTTTTCTTCTAATTAATATTATTGTATGCTTGCGCAGTAACTCGGTAAGTTTTCCTTCTCACATCTTCTACGAAGGTCGATACACGCTTAATATAAATACATAGCGCTTGAGTCGCATACATTCTTTCCACCGTCCGACTCCTCTCAAGAAAATGCCTGCTTTGACCTCGTGTGCTTGGGGTGAAAGCAAATTTAAATTTACAATATGACCAGACATCTACAGCTGTGAGGATTAAGACCAAGGGAAAAAATGAACAACTCTGAGAGAAAATGACGACCAAGTTTGTAACACTAGGCCAACATTTTCAAAGCCTCAGGCCTTTTGGAACGATAACCGTTTTTGCGCATTTGTGCATAGTTTGTTTTTAATTTGTCCGTCATTGGGTTTAGTGCTTCTTTTATGAAATGGGATGAAAAAAACCTTTGGGAAAAGACTTCATAAACAAGTCCAAGTCAGAACCACAAACACATGTACATGCATTGTTACGTTTCCTACCTGGAGTGGTCATTCCTGCAGTTAAAAAACTCTGTGAAAATACTCGTTTTTCCTACAATGTGAAAACTCTTTTAAGTAGGATTATTTTTGATGGTTTCCGTTTGCTAATATTAATTTAACCCCCAATTTCTTCTAGAACTGTTCTCCAGAGAAGGGTGGACCCGGCCTAGTCCACTTAAGGTTTTCAATTGCGTTATGTGAACCTGTTTGTCCACAGATCTAGATCAGGTACATCACCGACCATTTCAACAGGCAAAAACACGGTACATGTACATAGAGCACGTACACGTACGTGCGCAGAGCTATATATAGCTCTATGGTTCTATGCGTGTTACAAATTGTTCTCGACCTTTCTTGAGAAAATCGCGATCACGTGACACGCGTTCTGCATAAGTTTGAATTTACTAGTTTAGTTTTTACGAACTGATTTTAATTATTCATCACTTTTTAAGAAAAAAAATCCACATGCAGAAGTTTTCATCAAGTTTATAATCTTCTTTTTTGTCTTCTGAGATAAAACGAATCTGTATTGACGTCGTTTTGAATCCACGTTAGTCTTGACTGCCGAGGACGTTTATAACCAAATATCCATAAAACTGTGGTGCATTTTTCCCGAAAATGGCTCAATATATTGTTTCGTTCTTTTCTGAAGACGTAGTTGCTCAACTGAAGACAACTTTGGTGTGCTTTGTCTTGTCTAATCAGCTAAAATTATTTAAAACCTAAAAACATAGAAGTAATTTTTGCACTGTCATGCACAAGCCTAGAAACTACCAGACAATGGTATTAAGCGGCATCTACTTGGAAAATATTTTGCCCCTAGCTGGGATAGGCCTATTTCTGAAATTTCACTTTCCAGGATACCTTATTTTACTGTTTCGTTATGGATTCTGTAAATTTACGAAACTATTGCAACAATTTTATAAATGTTTGGTCACATATGAATTCAACCACCGTGAAACCCGACTAAAAAACGAAATCTCATTTTAACATTTTTAACAACTTCTTTCAAAGTTCTGATTCCCTTTTCGCAGAATATGCAAGAAAAATACTTCACAGTGTCACAGTTGATGAAAATTTGTACCCAGAAACATTAAAAGCAAAGGAAATAATGGATAGGTGTACAGACAATCCAATAACCGTACTTTAAGCACTCCTTCCCGCAAAGAGTACCGTAGGAGATATGGTTTTAATTTCAGTTTCGAATGTGTCTTGTACTGCCATGGCTTGAGATGTTCATTCATTTCACATTCAATCCTTGGCCTACCGTAACACGCATCGAGCCAACTTTGAATTGAAGTTGTATAAATGGTCCGCCGATACATGTGTTTTGTAGGTTGGCACAATTCTATGGGCTCCTTCAATAAAAAGAATTTAGATTTAATATGTATTTCTGAAAGCATTTGTCTCTTGAAGCTGAACACTTTCAGATTTTTTATTTGGTAAAAAGAGTTATATTGTTTGATTTACCTCGTCTCATAAACCTATCATTACAGAGAACTCTATTTACAATGATTGAACGCAATTAGGGGAAATGCAGGGAATTGAAAATATACATCATTTACAAATACAAAAACCAGTGAAAATATGAGAATGACAGTAGAGTGAAGGAGTGTCTGTGATATTGGAATTTGTTATACAACTTAACCTTCCAAATTAGCGACTTGAAAAGTGGATTCTTGAAGACATCACATCAAAGCTGGACTCCAACCAGTATGGAAATGTGAAGGGTTGTTCTACGGTGCATTACCTAGTTGACATGTTAAACGTTGTTCATCAGGGTGTGAACATACCTGGTTCCTCGGCCAATTTGTGTACTGTTGGTTTCACAAAGGCATTCGATAGAGTGGATGATACTTTTGTTATTCATAAACTTATTGGTCTTGGAGTCAGACGATCAATCATACCCCCCATCTGCAGTTTCCTTACTGATCGCACCCTCAACACAAAACTCTATTACCATTTATCCCTTGTCCGGGACATTTCCTGTGGGGTTCTTCAGGGTACCAAATTGGGCCCTATCTTGTTTTTGGCACCGGTTGATAATGCAGCAGTTAGAAACTGCAGGAGTTGGAAGTATGTTGATGACTTGACTTTGGGTAAAGTAATTAGCAGAGGCCAAAATTCCAATATGCATCCCCCTTGAAGACTTATAAGAATACTTTTCACAAAATAAAGTATTGCCTAAATCATCTAAATGTCAAACTATGACAATCAGCTTTGGAAGGAATACTATCACACGGCCACCTTTCACAATAAATAACCAATCACTTAGCTGTGTAACATCAGTTAAATTGCTTGGAGTGACCATCCAGGATAACTTGAAATGGGATATTCATGTTACTGACATTGTAACTAAAGCATAACGCAGATTATACATCTTGTGTATCCTGAAGAAAACGGGTGCACCGGTATCTGACCTACTGGACGTGAACATGTGTTATACCTGGCCCGTGTTGGAGTATGCTACTCCGGTGTGACATAGCTCTATAGGTGTAAAGCAAAGTAAGGCCATAGAGAGTGTTCAGAAGCGTGCTGTTCGGATCATTCTTGCGCAGAGTAATGACTCATGCACTGCACTCAGCACATTAGATCTTCCTGCACTGGAACTAGGAGGAGTGAGCTAATGCTTCAGTTTGGTAATAAATTACTGAATTCCACCAGATTTAGAGACATGCTTCCACCTGACAGAGTCAATGTTTGTAGCAGAAGCTCCACTACTGCGGGTCTTCAAAAACCAAAATGCCGTACGGTCAACTACAGAAAATCAACAATTCCTACTCTTGCTGGTATTTTGGAATGATGGTTTGTTTACGTGCAATAAATTTTAGCACATTTACGAGTCACTTTAAAGTTTGCAAGAAAAGTAGGAGATTGGATTGACCTTATTCTGTGGTTTGGTACCGGTATTTGTATACATTTTTTATACAAACATGTATGTAGGCCTAGATGTCTTTGTGATCTTTTTTTTGTTTGTTTTTTCATCTTATTAAGTGTTTTTAAGATTCTTTTGGCTAGTCATTTGATTGTGCATTGTCTTTAATATTTTATGTTATGTGTCTGTGACTGTTTTTATATGTGTCGAGTTTTACTGTAAATAGTACATGTAATATTAATATATTTATTATTCTCTTTTGATTCAGTTTTATCTTGTAATTTTACATTGTCAGCCCTTGGGCTGTCTGCTACAAACACAATAAACCAGAAATATACATATATAAATAAAGGAAAAGAAGAATTAATGTAGTTTTATTGTGATATATGAGAAAGATGTAGAACATTGAAACGTTGTTTAACCCTGACAGCCCAAATCCTCCGATTTCAATATGATTTTGCATACACCCTAGGGAGTTGAGGTTAAAAAATAACGTTTTTGGTTAAATAGAGCGTTGAAATTTCTGGGGAAGGTTAAATAGAAGTTGTAATTATCTCGTCTGTATTTTTCCCGGTCGAACAAATATTTTCGAGTACATTTGTCACTCAATATTTTCATAACCTGCATTATGCAGACCTCTGTTTCACACTGGTTCACGTGATGCAAAATTTGCAGAAATCTGCGGGCATGCATTTATGCAAGGATTCTCGTATTTTTTCTTCAGGTGTTTGTCTCGTAGCGCTGAGCACTTTACTTTATTTACCTGCGATTATGCATGACTATTCCTAATTAGCAAGCACAGTTGAACCTTTTTAATGAGAGGTCCTTCAGACTTGGTAAATTACCTTATCAAAACAGGAACGTTAAAACGATGAAAAACACAGGATCGGAACCTAAAATTGTCCTTGTTATACACGTAAGCAGAATTTAAAAAGTGCTCTTATTAACAAAGTTCGACTGTATTAAATGTCAACACGGTCTCGATATTACGAAGTGAGGCTTGGCAATTTAAGAATTCGTGTTTTGCTTGATCAGTTATGCGTAGAGCGAGACGATGTGTCGTGCCGCTTTCATGAACGTCATCATTAATACAGGAAAAGTCCAAATTTATTAAGTATAAGCTGCCGTCTGCACTTAGATACTTAAATTATTTCTCAACGGACGATATTATGACCGAAATCCACGAAGCAAGACGTGAATAAGTTAGGTAGAAGATCGTTAAGAGGAAATTGGAGGTACAGGTTTCCATTTTGTGGACAACTGCTTCGTGGCATTTTGTAAAGGGTTACCGGTATGGAGGACGAAAAGTGGCCATCTGCTTTTCTGCTATAAAATAGTAGAAAAGCAGATTTTACGTCTTTGTAACGTGCAACTGTCGACTTTTCTACTATTCTGCTACCTCAAAAGCACCGAGAATGAACATTTTATTGTAATGCATTTTCGACTTTTTGCTTTTATGCTACTACATATTAAGTAGTTTTACTTTTCTTTTTTTGCTGGCGGCCGAAAAATGGCCACTTGCTTTTTACCTGTCAAACAGGCAGGAAAGTGGATTGAACGTTTTGGCGACAACTGTAAATTCATCTTTGTCGCTTTTGTGATACCGGATAAGCAGATCATTTTACATAGGTGGCCGAGAAGTGGCCGTCTGCTTTTCTGTCCTCAATGGACCGTGAATGGGGTCATGAACGTGTAGGTTACGACCATTTTTGTTCTGGGGAGTGAAAACGTATAAACCAGTACTTAACCTTTCTGGTGACCAATCCCATACGGCAGTATCAAGTGTCCTTGTGAGGCCAAGAAAAGACCATCGCAAAGGAAAAACAGTTTTACAGCTATCATCCAATAGACACACAAGCTTGCTTGGGCCGTGGAAAATATGCGAATCTTTCATTACAAAAGACAGCGTGGACTGTAATTATTGGTTTCTACGTCTTCAATTCCCTAGAAAGGAAATGGTCACAACCCGAGGTTCACGACTCCGTTCACGGCCTTTGGAAGGCAGAAAAGCAGATGGCCACTTTTCAGCCGCCTATGTAAAATCCGCTTCTCTGGTATAAAAAAGCAGAAAAGTAGAATTCACGTTTATTGTCAAAACGTCTGATCCTCATTTCTGCCTGCTCGAAAGGAAAAAAACAGATAACAGATGACCACTTTTTGGTCGCCAGCGAACAAAGAAAAAGTAACATCTGCTTTTCTTGAAGCAGAAAAAAATATATACCCAACCGATGTTCGTTCGGCTTTTTAAGGTGGCAGAAAAGTAGATAAGTCGAAAATTACATGCTACAGAAACATAAATCTGCTTACTGTTACTCTGATAGCAGAACAGCAGATGGCTACCGTCGTCCTCCATGTACTGGTGATTTTTGGTAATACTGCAGATATATAGACAGCATTGATCTCTGTAGGTCTACATACTATCTGGGCCCAAGATAGATAAAAGAGGTGTGTGACAAAATATGTCGCCAAACTTGAAAGGCACAAATCCCCAATATTTCATTGCGTATTTTGTAACAATTCTCGGTTAATATTCTGAAAACAATTGCACACACCTAACCAAAAAACTAAACTATAATAAAATAAAATTGGCCTAAAATCTTTCGAAATAAACAGAGACATCGTTCCATATATGCAAAAGTAGAGTTTCCCTTCCTCGTTTGAACTAAGGGGTTATTAATTTTGTCGTAATTCCACTGACTCAGACCACAAGCCAACGAATGCTTCTGTTTTATGTTAGAGTTAAAAATATTTGTAAATATCTTTGACACCATCCAGGTATCCTGCGTCATGGGCTTCACATGGCTCTTCGGATGCCTTGGCAGCTTCGTCGACCACCAGGCCATTTGGTATCTCTTCATCATCCTTAATTCACTGCAGGGGGTCTTCATCTTTGTATCTTTCGGGTGCAACCTGCGCATCCGGAATCTCTGGCGAGAGAAACTTGGCATCAAGGCGGGGAGAAAGACCAAGGCATCGCGGAATAGTTCGAACATCTCTAGCACTAGAACAAATCGCACTCCAGCCATGAGCGAGGCTGTAACCATGACGACATCCATTAGCTTGCATAGTGTGAAAGTATCCACACCCAACTGATGTTTAAATGTATGAAATTGAATTGAATATACTTCGTGAATATAGCTTCTTGATTCAACAAAGCATGCAGTAGCCTATAGAGTGTGCTGTTATATGTAATGGGTTGTAATTTAATTATTGCATAGCATAGCATAGCGTAGCATATGATAATGTATAGTATAGCACCCTACAGTATTATCTGATATGATGTGTTACTTTATTTAATTTCATTTTAAATTATTTTATAAATATGTGTACATTTTGACTTGCCGGTTCATTGTGTTTGGTAAGACTTACAATATTATGTCACATTTCATCTTTAAGGTTGAAAATTAAGACCATAAGATACATTGCTGTTTAGATTTATGATTAAACATGAAAATCACATTTTAAATTAATCTTTAATTACCAAGATCGCAAACTGGATAAAATCTATTTATACGATCCATATCGGATTTAAAATTCAAGGTTCCAACAAAACTAAGGCGTTGTAGTTCCAAAATCCTTGGAATATGTCAGTTTTGTTCAGAGTGCTTGGAATAAATGGGAAATGATACATCGCTAACGCGCCAGGTGAAAACATGTGATTTCAATTGCACAGGCTTTATCGCTGCATTTCCCCCGAAATTTAATAGTCAAAGCATCTCCGGTAAAACACATCTGCCAGAAACACCATTCTTTTAATTTAACGTTACGCTATGTGGGCACAAGGTTGCTTGAAGATATTGCTCTCACCAACATCGATTGAGACAATTCACGTTCGATCAGATTGTAGTTATAGGTCAACATATACACAAAGCCTTTTTTCTTCAAGTAGTGGTCGCTGTATTGTGTAACTTCAAAATTTTAATGCAATGCCCGATTTTTTCTGTGGGCCGGAATTACCTTTTTCCGGGGGAATTCCACGAGGGAAAGCAGTAGAGAGCAAGAAAATGATAAACCATCAACTTACAGTGGGAGTGTCCATTTTAAGGTTTTTTTTCAAGAAAGAGGTTTTCATCCCCTTTCAACTCTTTCTTTCTTGGCTTTTCCTCCTTTTTTATTTTCAACTTTTTCCAGGAAGGGTGAAAAGCGCCCTCCTTTGCGACACCAATTCGTGCACTGTGTTTCAGTTGTAAATTTAAAGGATCCGTGAAGACTTCCGTGGACAAACTGTTAAAACATTCACATGTATGCCAAACAACACGATGGGGGATGTGAAAATGGGACAAAATTCCTTTTGATGTGGTTACTTTGGGTTACGCTTCAAATGAATGTATTAATCCTGAAAACTGATGGCGTTGCGCGTGACGTACACTTGAGAAACCACAATAATAGTCTGCAACATTTTGGTACCTACCTACCAAAAACGCATGCGCAATGGTTCAGATACGCCCATTTCATTATTACTACCCTACCCTCCTTGAAAAAAATTACGCTAGCGGCACGAAGTCTTCTCAAAGTACGTCCCAGATATGCAATTTTCCTATGTTAATGAGATATCGCTAGGGGCGGGGCCTTGTCCCCAAAACTTAGAAAATTGTTTCGCCCATTAATAAATCAGTACATGCGTAATGTAAATGACGCATATCATTCACAGAAGAAACTACCATCTTTACTGACAATTTGGATATTTTTCAATTAGATCTGTTGGTCTATTATTTATTTACTGGTAAAATCCTTTTCTGGGAAAAAAGACAATAGAGTAGTCAAACACTGAATGAAAAGTCAACACAATTCATTCGTTCAATCATGCTTGTTTAATTACTGGGAGCAGCTCAAAAAACCCAGAGTAATGGATATCCTATGAAGAGTAAGGATAAACAGTTCCCGTTACACTGAGGCATTGTGTCTGTGATACAAATTTGTTTGGTCATTGAGATCTATTGGCAGGAACACATTCAAAATCTCAAACTGACGTCATACAACCAGATGCAATACATAACTGCTGATTGGGTACATTTATATTTTCATTCTATAACTTTCATTACGAAAGGTTTCTTATGAGCAAATATGGGCCTAAATCCCGAAAGGTGTTTTGCTGTGTCGATTGAATCCTTGATGTGCTGTCCTCGTTGAATCTGGATTACCGGAATCACGGGCTAAACGGGGTCATGCGGAGTATATATAATCCCCTCACTTTCTGAAATGGGGGATGGGCTACTGAATCATCCCCAACTTTTTGTGGAGAGAAAAAAAATTAAAGAGGAAGGCATTTTTCAGACTTTCCAACTACTAAAATACATAATAAAAGGGCCATAAATAAGTCATTCTGATGCAAGATTCTGCATGGCTGTAATACTTATTACAGATGTACATTTGTATTACGAACATCGCCCCATTATGGTGTCATACCCCCCCCCCATACACACTTTTCAAATTTCCATTACTGGGCAAGTCCTCCCATCATCCCGTCCCCAATTTCTAGCATAAATTCACGCCACTGTGCCCAAATCAGAAACAGTCAACTTTAACCTGGTGTCATTATTCGTATTTCTTGAAACAGCACCCATACTAACCCTTCTGTGTTTTGTACAAGTGGGATTCTACATTAAGGTATACTGCTGCAGAAAAAACACAGAAACCTACAAAGATGAACAATATCCTTAGAATGGCACTAAAAGGTTTGAAATTTAATAACATCTTGGGTACCGAGGCGCACGTTGCCTGAATTTATGTTATTTGAGTTAAAGTTATTATAACACTGACAAAAACAAATAATTACGTTCTATCACACCATAGTTCAACGATGCTCCACATACAACGAAACCACTTGGAAACTTTCATGTAGTAATTTGACCAAACATGTTTATAGAATACCAGCAAACCAAACAGAACTGTGTGAGAGGACAATTCAGTCCTCAGTATGCAACCTGTCCGAGGCTGATATTAACCAAACTCAAATCAATTACATGTACAAGAAGCAGAACAGTTTATGTGTAACCCAAAAGGAAAAAGCAGAGGAGGTTTTTGGAGTTCACCATTACACTTTCAAGGGCAAATCTAGAACTACTGAAGGGGGGCCAATTTTTTTTTTTAATTCTTTTGGGGTGGCAAAAAACAAATTCTGGAAAATTCTTGCTGTGGGGGGTGAGGTTACATTTGAGGGATTTCTCACGCTTTTGGAAGGATGGGAAATGAAACAGACCTTTGCTTCCTCTTTCTCAATATTTTTTGTTTTTTTCTTTTTGGCTATTCTTTTGAGGAGGGCATGACCCTGTGATGGATACTCTTTTTCACACATTCAAACCAAACAAAATCCACGTCAGAGTTTGGGAGAATTCCGTAGGGTCGAGGAAGGTATGGTGTACTCACTTTTACTTTACATGTACATGTACCCCTTTTGAGTTTTAAGTTTCCTACATAGTGGAAGAGTTTGGAAACAGATAAGCTTCTTCCTCGCAAAATTCTTCAAGAGTACAGGGTTTAAGAGAATCATGTGATCTAGATGTCCTAATGCTTTCACATTCTTAAAGACTACTGTAGCAATACTTTACATGAATGCTGACTCCGACATTGGCCAACTTATGCAGGATATTTTGTGCTTTCTAGTGACCGTGAAACTGTACCCAAAAGTGAGGGCATATGCGTTAACTGTCAGGGCCTTTGGCAACACGGAAGTAGCATTAACTACTCAGGGGAACTTTCAATATGAAAGTCTCTAGGTTCGAGTGAACAAAAATGAAATACCCTTGTGAAAAGGGAACAGAGTCCGATTTTCCTAGACATCTAAAAAAAAAAAAAAATTACAAAAGGGCTGAAATTACTAACAAATGTCCTAAAAACCATTCAGGGTTTAGTTCACCTCAATACTAAGAACTAATAACTTATCTAAGTATGCACTTATCTATGCATGTCAAAAATACCTTCTCAAGTCCAAACAGATATTCTGAGTGCCCTGATCAGACCAAATGTTCACACTTATAAAAATGTGGTTTTTTTTCTTTTCAAGCTCTCTTGTTTAAATACAGGTACTTTCAACAGAATGAAGAAAATCTATGAACTCTAAACACGTGTTCACAAAGAACTTTTTTGGTTAACTTAATGCACCTTTCCTGTAGAATTATAAACTGAATGCAATGGGCGGACACATGATAAAGTGACCTCCCTGTCAACTTTATCACAGCCATGATGTAAAACTACTTGGCCAAAATTGTCATGGAAGATTTCTATGCAGCCATGGTAAGTTATCAGGGAATCTATTGAAAAGTCTGATGGGAACAGTTCCATGCTGTAGATCTACTGTACAGCTTCCTGGAGGTACACGAAAATGGTTGTACAGTTCCTTGTCTCCTTGGGTATAGCATGGCAACATGCCAATTTATGTTCAACTCTTGTTACTATGAGTGTCTCGGGACTTACTTAATTATCTCGTATTATCCGGAACCTCATCTTATGCGTAAAGTATGTTCCATCTCACATGTGTCGTTTGTCGACCGTACCATGATCGTAATACAGTTGATAGGTAATGAATTTGCTTCAAAACCATTCAATATGTTCTTCATGACAGTGAAATGTATAGTGAATAAAAAATTATTATAATAAAACTTGTATGGCAACTGAAAAAAAAAGAAGAGAATTAATAAAACGCAACAACGGGGACTCGTCACCAATCACTGTCAGAGCGATGTAACCTGCACCGTAGTGGTCAATGTCAAGAGAGAATGCGCATGTAAGTAATTAACATTTTACTTGGTGACTGACTTCAAAGATGCTTATTTCTACATACAAAAAGTGAAAGAAACCAGCAAATTTTTGTGTGAACAGCAGTGGGCATAGGTAGGGGCCCGGGTAATATGTGATTAATGAGAAATTAAGGTTTCTCAACTTTGGGGATTTAGAGGGCATTAAATCGACTTCCAAAGAGACATTCATGGGTTGGAAAACAAATGATTTTAATGACAAAGGAATCTTACATTATTTTCAAGTTGGACAGTGGCATTTTTCTATTTTCTTTTTCATGTTTTGGTGGGGAGTTTGTTATGAGTTTCTTTTTTTCTTCAGGCCCTCTGGTGGCCCGAGAATTGCAAATGCTCATTGTTATAAAGCCTGGTTTCCACAATGACGTAAGAAACGTAAAGAGCAACACAATCAAGACGCAAACTGCTACGCAGACATATGGAAACATGTCAAACGGAGATGTGGCCAACAACACAGACAAACCCAAACCAGCCCGCAAACGATCGGCAAAGTTGAGCCAGGTTCGACTTTGCCGACTGTCTGTGTCAAATAGCCGTCCCCATACAAACATGCATACTGGCATAGCCGGCGTGCAACAATGTCCCTCTTGCTTAGGTCCACGAATTTTGTCCATTTTCTCCTTAATGCTTAAAAATTACGCCCCAGTGATCAACTAAATAGTTGACTGTCAATGAAATACATGAAACTGGAATAGAAGTTTGGCATCATAAGGCAGTACAGTCAATCTAAAAAGCACATTTTCCGCAAAAAATCACGGAGTTTCGGATGCCATTTTGTTTCAGTTTTTGGGCCAAATGATGTCATGCACCATCTCTTCCATTTGTGTCTGCGTCTTCACGGAAACCAGGCTTTGGTCATCTCACCGTCATATCCATGTCATATGTTAAAGTGTAACATTCTACCAGTCTCCCATGGTGAGTAAACTACACGTATCTGTAGAGCTTATAAAAGTCAAAGTATGAATGCACAGTAGACTGACATGAAGGAATGCTGCAGTAAGTTTTCACGTGCAGAAAAAAGTCCAACGTGAACACGGTTTAACACTCGCAAGATGCACCAATTGGCCAACTTATTGTTTCTTTTGTCTTTATTTTCATTATTGTGCTTTCAAGTGTCACATGCATTCACAAACAGCTGCCCAAACTCCACTGAATGCACACTGATTACAGTGCACAAACAATTAGGATCCATGAACACTACCTTCTCAGTTCCCAACAGCGACAACAATTTTGCTTGGAGGTTGGGTACCTGTCAGCGCAACGCACCAGTCTTCTATGACTAGTAGTCGGTACCCCGGCTTACCACCTCCTTACAGGTTGGCCGCAGCAGGATTGTGTGCTCAAACTGCGCAGTGTAGCAACCCTTGACGTCACACAGGGGTGGGTAAGCATCTACAATCCCTGCAATGACAAATAACAGGCATACAAACAAATGTCCACCTGTCTAATTGATTTACTACACCTGGCATACATTTTGAAGGTAGTGCATTACAATTTATTTATTCCTCAGTAAATGTAACACAATAATAAAAGCTGGTATGGTTTCAGGTCGTACTGGGGGAAAAAGGAAGAACAGTTTTGTGTTGCATAGGATATCAAGGTTTAAAAACCAGGCCACATTCAAGCAACGACTACATCTAACCTTTGCTGTAGTTCAATACTTTTTTCAGTAATGAGTACTGCCGAGAACTTAGATTTCTGAGTACATGAAAGTCCAGGTACTTTGCCAGCCATGTACAAGTACTGTTTTTCAAGCACAAGAACTTGTACTTCCGAGTACAAGTCCGAGCATGAGTACTTGCACTTCTGAGTATGAGTGCTTGCATTTTCGAGTACAAGTACTTGCATTTTCAAATATGAGTATGTGTATGAGTACTTGCATTTCCAAGTATGAGTATGAGTTTCACTGTGACAGTGCCCTTTTTTGACCATGTACTAGCATCTTTCTGTGATTCTTCTGGTGATGGTTTGTGTTGGGGAATAAACAGGACATTCTTGGAACCAACACTAGGAATACTTAGTGTTTTGCGAACATGATTGGCTTAGTAATCCTACAGATGGCAAATGTGTCATATGTAAGTGTTCCCACATGCTAGTATTAAGCCTTTTGTTTGTCGGACCGTACTAAATACTGGTCTGCGAGGGTTGATTTTTTTTTATTGTATTTTAATGGTCATGGCAAGTTCAAGGTTTTTTTTAATTGAGTACTGTTAAACGAGTACAAGTGCCTCGACGCTCAAGTACAATTTGGTACTGAGTATTTTACAGCACGTGTAACTATGGGTAAACTTACATTACATGAACGATGGAGAGTTTGGACCATCCACTAGACCATTTGGAACCTGGTCCCTAGGCATGGTCATACTGATGGTTATCAATAGAGGATTTAATGTATCAGTACAGAGGCAGCCATTCAGGTGAAACAAAATTTTCTGAGATGCCATGTTTGTCATGAGAGCGACAATCAATGGCAAAATGTGAGTGTACTGCATATGCACATTGTGAAAAAGCAACTGACTAGTACTTGAACTGTAAGTTGGCCCACCAGTTTCCCCGTATATAACTAATGCTATCCAAGCAGGATTTTTCCTTTCTAAATAGCTTCTAGCACCTGCTTCAAGCATAAATAGAGCCAACGGTGTCTCAGATCAGGAGTTACATGTTGTCTACGACACTGTCTGATTAAAGAGCCTATCTCGTTTAGGACTCCTCACCAGTAGTAACTGGCCAATAGAGGTTAACTCCTACCGCTCTAAGAGTCCACAAGATAGGCTCTTTCAGGTACGATTCTCAGCATTGTAGCATCACAGTTTCAGATACCTGTGTCGCAGAGGTTTTTGAGGGCCATGAGGTACTTTGTCTCCCCGATGCGATCCAGCCAACGTCTGCAGAAGGCTAGCGTGCCAAAGTGGGTGTTGATCTTGTGCAACAAGAGCTTGGCTCGGGCCATTCTGTGGTGACAAAAGAAAGAAACTGAAGTGGTTCCTTGGAACACCATATTCTGGGTTTCACAGAGAGATTTAAAAAAGACTATAGCCTTCACAAAAACTTGAGTTTGACACTCCGGACATAGGATCCTAACCAAACAAATCCTTAATTTCAAAGTGCTACCAATTATGCTTCATTTGAAGCAATTCTTTTGCAATTACAAGATGGGACAAAAGCATTCCCTATATACATATATATATGAAGACTGATGCATCTCGATGAGGGTGAAAGTGGAAATACTCATCAAGTCATTTAACAAGGAAGACAGGCAAGTCTTGAAAAACAAAGGAAACAATTCCAGTCAGTTAACAGAAATTACCTCAGGGGTACATGTCCAGCATTGAAGTTCTTCATGTAATGAGAGCATTCCATGTCATCATGCACAACTCCTTTGCCTGTGCTGCCAAATGTCTCAATTGCATAGAACTCATTCTCCTGGAAAGAACAAAAATCATGCTCACCAATACTTAAAATTTTCGTAAAATTTTGTGAACCCTTTACCACTTGCTGCCGGGGACTCCGAAATCGGAGACGTATGGTTTATATGTGTGGCCAGGGTACTCCGAACAAAAGACCAAGCTGCTGGGCATTACCGACATTTTTCACTCTCAAAAGTGGTGATGATCCAGCCTTGTATTAAAAACGTATACCAGGGTTTGGGGCATTGAGCGCGAGCGGATTACCACCGGGGACAAAAGCGCTCCACCACCGCAGCCATGAGCCACATAGCACTGCTGCACGCTAATCTGGCCCCTATTGAAAACAAGTCAGGAGTGCACTGAGCCAGATTCGTGAACATAAGAAAGTTATATAACACCGCACAATCTGGGCTCTGTTTACAAGGCTGCAGGCCAGGCTGAAATACTCGGGCGTCAATGACGGTCACCTATCAACTTAGAGTAGTGCCTGAAGATTACTTTGTGTGGCTATAAACGACCGTTAAATGAAATGATGAATTTTTGAAGGATTTTGAAAATGGAAAAAATGATAGTCATGCCGGCCCAGCATCATCAACGATGAAAAATGCCCCGGCATGAAGTGGTTAAAACAATTTAAAAACTTTCAAAACACAGAAACCATCAATACTACTGACACATCCAAAAAGTTCTTTCGACACTGTTCAAAACAGTGACCTTGAGCAATTATGTCAAAAACCGTAGAGAGTTTGCATGGCTATGTATACCTCAGAAATCTGAGCTTTTTAACATGCAAACTTTCTAATTTGTTATCCCTGCAATAAGGGATACCAAAGGTGTTAAATACATGTTGGGCAGGATAAAAATCCCAAATAAATTTACATGTTGAAGACACAATAAAAAGAGAGTGCTGATACTTTACTATGTCAAACTCTGAAGTGGGCAATGTAAATGAAATACAATTATATATGATTAAAATCCTTCACATCAAATAGCCATTTGCGAATTAAATTGAATAAAATCTGGTACACTGAATTCTTCAAATTCACATGAACATAACAACTTGAATTCTCCATACTAAAACCACTGCTGCTATACCTCGTGATTCGGGGCAAGCTTTTGCTTAGTTACATAAGAGGCGCCTTGCAACAATACACTGTTCTCAATGGATAAGAACGGCACAAAGGAACAAGTCCATTCCAGAGATGGTGGTCGCTATGCAAAAGCTTGCCCCAAATCACGAGGTACAGCAACAGTGTCTGTAGTCTGGGGAATTCAAATTGTTTCGTTTCTGTGCAATCAGATAACACAGTGTACCAGATTTTATTCAAATTTGACTTGCAAGTGGCTTATTCATTTACTGAATCCAAACAGCTGATTTAAATGGAAAGAGGTGGATTGAACAAAAAAATCCTGCCAACCCAGACTGTGTTTGACGTGTGCATTCATATTTCTTATCAGTACAGGGAACTGAAAGGCTCACAGAGGAGGGATTTGCTGTTTGAAATGAGCAAATTCCATGAATGATTGACCGAGAAACCGTTTGCCCAAACTTCTGCCCTGGTACCCACCTCCATCTTGGTTGCTTCTCCGCCCTTGACGATGGGCACCGTTTTGCCTGCGTGTATTCTGTACTGACCGATGGAGTGACCGTTCAGGTTGCGGATTGGCCGGACCTGGTAGGTCTTCCCATTCAGCTCCACCTCGTAGGATTCCATGACCTCCTGTATTCTCTCACCAATGTCGCATAATCGGACATCAATTCCCGCCTCCTAAAAGTAAAACATCAAAAAGGAAATTTGTGTAATTTTTGAAACCTGTGGCAAATACCAAATATCAGAAAAAAAATGACCTCTACACTGCAGTCAAACTAATAGGTTTCCCATGAAAATTGTTGATTTTGGTTACATTTTCATCCATTAATAGTAGCATCGGTTTTTGTTAGAATAAATGATCTTGCCTCCCATTATTTTTTCTTCGGCTGGTTTGGTTTGTGCATGCTTGGTTTGGTAGATATATACGTACTTGAATTTCCTCTTACCTCCAACATTCTTTTCAAGGGTAATTATATGACCAGTAATTGTGTATTTTTGGTATGGATTTTTTTGGTGTGGATACATTGGTGCTGTGGTAACTGATGCCTTATTTTCTTTTCTGTTCACCGAGCCAGTGTAGAGGATCGGTGTTCTGCTGAACTGTTTAGTTTTGTATTTATGGCCTTTTCTTCTACCTGAAGGCGCCCTCCTCAAGTATTTTAAATATAGTAATAAGATTAATTTTAAAACTAACTTGAAACAAATGAATTTATTATTATTCTGTTTTTATTGTACTAGATAAAACACAACGAGATTTAGTGTATTTTTTATAAATGTATTCGGCAGTAGCATTTTCATGATTTTATTGTGTTAATTTTTATTGTTCCATGATTATTTGTGTGTGATTTATCTTTTTGGATAGCTCCTTGTATAGTGATTTGTTTTGCTTTAGAGTAATCCACGGCTTGTTTTCTTAATTTTCTATATCTTGTGCTCTATGTATTTGCATTGCCCGAAAATAAATAAATAAATAAATAGAAGTATAAGGAGTCACTCAAGGCAAATGTATATTGCTAAAGACTAAAATTTCCCTCTTAAAATACATGCTAGAGGAAAACACAACCCAGCAGATACCCACCAAATATAACAGAAATTCCCCAAATGAGCCTGTAAGCTGTATATGGGCTAGTGAAATGTACTGTGAACTGGGCGCTAATATAGAGAACACCTCAGTAACAAAATTAGGAAAAACTCTGTGTCTACTCAGTGATGTACCTTTATGCCTGTGTTGGTAGCATCTTTAACAGCTTCTAGAAGTGGGTCATATCTGGGATTAAACGCCACTGTGAATGCACAGTCAATTATTCTCCCTGTGCAGACAAATAAAGAAATCATGTACTTAATGATTTACTGTAACAAAGCAGTCACCAATTTATAAAGGCAATGATCAATACTGAATATCATTAGTTCCAATGCTCACAGTTACAAAATATGTGGCAGAAGAAAAAAAAACATGACTAGTGCCTGAAAAAAACAAGCCAACACATTTCCTGTATATAATGCA